TCTGGCTTTTGGATTATGGTTAACATGGGGTTCATACACAGCATCCTAGATATAAGACAATCTGTAGTAAACTGATGGTCACTTAAATTCAAACACATTCTAACAGCACTACATTTTTTATTCCTCTTTCTCCACAGTTTATCTATATGATGTCCTCTTATACTTTATTTAGTGATTATCCTAACTAATTTTTATATGTAATTAATCATTCTACTTTTTACTTTTTGACCTTCTTATAAGCTTTTAGTCATTGATCTACTATTTCTGGAATGCATTTGTTTTTACCAATGAAATTTTTCCTTTCAAATTTTTCTTGCTTCTCTTTAGCATCTTTTCTTTTCCTCTTAAAGAAGTCCCTTTAACATTTCTTGTAAGTCTGCCTTAGTGTTGGTGAATTCTTTGAGCTTATGTTTAATCTGTGAAACTCTTTATGTTCTCTTCCATTCTGAATGATAACCTTGCTCAGTAAAGTATTTTTGGTTGGAGGTTTTTCTCTTTCAGTGCTTTGAATATATCATGTCACTCCCTTCTGGCCTTTAGAGTTTCTGCTGACAAATCAGATAACAGCCTCATGGGATTTCCCTTATAGGTAACTGGTTTTCTTCTGCTGCTTTTAAGATAATATCTTTGTCTTTGATCTTTGACATTTTAATTATTATGTGTCTTAGTGTGGACCTCCTTCATTTATCTTGTTTTGGGGGTCTGTTTGCTTCCTGGACCTGGATGTCTGTTTCATTCTGTGGGTTAGCCAAGTTTTCAGCTATTAATTCTTCAAATAAGTTTCCTACTCCTTTTTCTCCATTTTCTCCTTCTGGGACTTCAGTCTTGTGGCTCTTTGGGTGTTTGATATTGTCCCAAAAATCCCTTGATCTTTTCTCATTTCTTTTTATTCTTTTTTCTTTCTGCTACTCACCTTGAGTGTTTTCCAATACTCTGTCTTCCACATCACTGATCTGTTTTTCTCTGCATTCTCTAATCTCTTGAGTCTCTCTGGTATACTTTTCATTTCATTCATCTCTGATTGGTTCTGTTTTATATTTTTTGTCTCCTTGTAGACATTCTCACTGATTTGATTTTATCTACCCTTCGATCAAGTCTGGAAAGCATCTTTATAATCACTACTTTGAACTTTTTATCTGGTGGATTGCTTAACTCATTTCATTTAGTTATTTCTCTGAAGTTGTCATGCTCTTTTATTTGAAGCATATTCCTCTATTTCCTCTTTTTGTTTGACTTTCTGTGCTTGATTATGAATTACTCAAAAGGGCTATCTTTCCCAGTTTTGAATGATTGGTCTTGTGTAGGGAAGGTCCCTTGGGCAGACGGGGTGTACTGGTGGTTTTGGCTGGCTGGCTGGAGGTCTAGTGACCATGGGTGGGGGGGATCCTCGCATTAGGTCTCCCAGGGTGTGTTTGGTGGAACATGTTGGAGGGGCCCAATTGAAGCAGCTCTTGAGGATACTGGTGAAGTTCATTCAGGTGGGGAGGCAGTGGTCTTGGGCATTCTCCTAGGAACTCCTACGTCAATAGCTACTGGCTTTGTGCTCTAGTGCAGTTGCAGCCTGGGTATGCTCTCCAGGTATTGGTGGCAGCTAATTCTGTGACCATAGTGTAGCACTGGGACCGATGTGCCTTCCAGGAAAGCCTGCCTCTGAAGCCACTGTTTCTGTGGTATAGTAGTGTGACCAACGCACATTCTCCAGGGGTCAGCAAAGATTTGGCTTCATACCTATAGTGCAGCTGCAGCCTGAGTGCAGTTTCTGGCAGGTGGCAGCCTCCAGCTCTGTTCACAGTGCAGAAGAGGCCCAGGTGTACACTCCAGCTGGCATGTCTGGTATGGGTGATGGCTGTGAAGCCACCTAAGCTAAGTCTAAAATTGGTGTGTTGACTAAGTCTGAAACTGTAAACTTAAGTCTGGAATTGCATGAACCGTGCCTCCCATGGCACTATCAATGTGGGGCACTAGCACCTCCAATCCTGGAGAGAGTTCCTGAAGTTCCCACTCCAAACAGCAGGTGCATTAGTCTTAAAAAGCTGTTTTGTTTTTGTTTTTTCACTTATAGTCTAGATGCACTTTGAAACACAGATTTTCTGTGCCTTAGCACAGGGAATCTCTGTTCAGGTCTCTCAGCAATATGTGTCTCCAGGGTTGTTGTGCTGGGGGTGGGGCTTCCTCTCTCCTGCAATTTTTATGTGATCTTTCCCATCTATCATTGTGCAGAAGGTGTTCATCAGGCCTCAGTTTCTCTGTGTGTAGGTATAGATTCAGCGTGTAGCGGGGAGGAGATGTGATTAGGCTCTTTCTATGCTGTCATTTTCCCCTCAACCTGTGTAAGTTTTAGAATGTTGTGTTTCCATTTGTGTTTGTCTAAGGATACTTTTTTTTCTCTTTTTTTCTTTAAACCATTGTTTTTTCAGGAGAGTGTTTTAATTTCCATGTATTCATAAATTTTCCAGTTTTCCTCTTATTAATTTCTAGTCATACCATTGTTGTTAGACGAGATACTTGGTATGATTTCAATCTCCTTGAATTTGCTAAGACTTGTTTTGTGGTCTAACATATCTTTTTGGGCTTCCTGGATCTAGATATCTGTTTCTTTTCGCCACATTAGAGATATGTTTAGCCATAAATTCTTCATAAGATTTCTGTTCCTTTCTCTTTCTCTTTTCTTTCTGGGACTCCTATAATGTGAATGTTTGCCTGCATGATGTCCTGTAAGTCCCTTAAGCCATCTTCACTAATATATTTTTTTTCATTTTTCTTTTTGCTTCTCTCTTTGAGTTCCTCTGCCCTGTGTTCAAGTTCACTGATCCTTTTTTCTGTTTCATCTAGTCTCCTGTTCAACTCATCTAATGTATTTTTTTCATTTCAGTAATTGTATTATTCAGTTCCATGACTTCTATTTGGAACTTTCTTAAATTTTCTTACATTTTTGATGTTCTTACTATGTTCATGAATTCTTCTTTCAAGTTTGTTGAGTATTTTTATGACCTTTACTCTGACTTCTTGTCAGGAAGAGTATGTATCCCCATTTCATTAAGTTTTCTTTTCTTTTCTTTTCCCTGAGGTTTTATGTTTCATTTGTAACATAATCTGTTTCTTCATTTTGCTTGATTCTCTATGTTGGACTTATACATTAAATGAAAGAGCTAACACTTGCAGTCTTGGAGTGTTGGCCCTGTAGGATACAAACCTTGTCATTAAACCCTTCTTTAGCTCTTGGTTGTCACTCCAGTTTTTGTCATTGTCCACAGAACCAAATTAATTTTAGTAACTAAAGTAGTTGAAGGGTGCCATGACCAGTCAGTGTCCCAGAGAAGAAGATTTCACTCAGCACCTAGATTCTGGCTATTTTAAACCAGGCCCTTAGGCAGAATGGAAATATATACAGTCCTGTGGGAGTATAAGCATAAGCCCTTCTGGCCCCCCATCTAGGTAATCAGGAGATGTCCCCTGGGCAGCAGTTGCAAAAATAGGGCTCCAAGTGAGCTCCTTTCTGGGAGATACTAGTGAGCTGTTTTGATGCGGAAGGAGAGCACAAAGATGATTTCCCTTGGTTTATATTCCCTGAGAGCACCATTGTAGCCTCTTGATATGTGCCAAACCTGAAGCCCTGCCCTTTAGGCTGAAGTTCCAGGAATAGCAAGTAGGCCTCTTTCACACAAAGGCTGAGGGTATCTTTTATTTTGCTATCTTTGCAGTGCTATGGGGGTTGTATCATGTCAAGAACTGTCTCTCTAATTGTTATAGTCCTGTGGAACCCTGGATCAAAAGACCCCTAGCCCTCTGAGCTAGGTGACTAAAGGATATCTCCTGGGTAGCAGCTTTAAAAACCTGGGCATCAGACATAAAACTTGGCTACCAGGCATATATAAGAACTTCCCCCAGGAGTTGTTGAGCCTCCCCCAGGAGATGTTCTACAGTGCTCTGTAGTGCAGCAGAGGGAGAGCATTACCTTACCTTATTTTTGCTTACAGTGAAAATATTTAGTATTTTACTGTTAAGTATGATGTTAGTTTGTTGATTCCATTTATCAGGTAATATTTTGGAGATACTGGGTTAAAAATAATATTAAAATTAATCTCACCTACTTTTTTTTACTTCCTTGTCATATGGCTAACAGAAAATTTAAAAGTAGTTTGTGCCCACATTATATTCTGTTGGACAGTACTGCTCTAGAGTAATTTTCCTAGGTTAATATAAAGTTACTTCTTCATTAGAGAAGAAAAATAGAGTTCATACTGATCACCTTATATATCTGTAGATAATTTAGTCATGTTCTCCCTGCCATTATGTTATAAAATGCATAGCCAGATATAACTACAGGATTCTTTGTACATTCCTATCACCAGAGATTTCTTACTGCTTACTCATCTGATGATGAATGTTGATGAACAAATCTTAATGATTAGTTTTATATAGTAATAATATGAAAACAAATATTACATTAAATTTACCATTATGCTTTCTAAGATGTAAGTGAACTCATGAATAGTTTTCTCATTTTTCTTTTTGGGCAGAATACTAAATGACAATTTTTCTTCCTTATATTTAGCCCCTTAGTTCTGTGCAAAAAACATCAGGAAAAGTTTATGAATGAATATGAAACAAAATGGATTTACATACACAAAGGATATGAAGATAACCTATCTAAGGATCTCTTTTTTCAGACAGAAACTAATGTAACAGGAAAGCTTGCACGCTGGAAACATGTAAGTCTAATTAGATTATTACTTTTCTTTGAAATATTTTTATTCAAGATACTATAGTTACAACTTATGAAGCTTTAGTAAGAATTTCTTCTTTTAAATATTTTCTCATTTAAATATTTTCCATATATTTTTAATATTCTGCTTGAGATTTTCTTGTTGCAAGAAAAGTCATATAATACAGTATAAATATAATCTTTATGGTGCATTAATTACTCTTACCACAACCATTTTATAATTTACACTTTGTATATTTTTTCTCATTAGTTATTGCAACTAGTTATTAATAGTAATGTCTTTCCTATAATTATATATAGTAATATAGTAATTAATATTAATAGTATTTAGTTTATTAAAGGCTAATAATACTATATATAACAATTGTCATTCAGTATTTTATGCTAAAGCATGCATTGCTTTGAGAACACAATGGAAACAGAAACTTATGTTTATTGAGTGTCTACTATGTACAAGGCACTGTGTTATTTTGCATATAGTTTATTTTCCACAATACAATAAGATTGTCCTTTTTATCTCATTTATATAAATAGGGAAACCAAGTTCTCAGAGCTGGTAATTAACTTCTAAGACTTACCTCCAGGACTTCTGACTTGAAAGTTTATGCTTTTTTTATCTTTTTATTTTTGTTTTGATTTGGACATTAGGTAATGGTAGAAATGAAGACTTGGCATTATAGTATAATTAACTAGAATTAACTTTTTATAATTTTAAAACACTGTGTATATGATAATCTCCTTCATATGTGAACCTGTTTCTGAATAGCTTGAGCAACAATTGTTTCCATTAAATTAACATGATTAGAAGGTATTACAAAAGATCTAGTCATTAGTCTCATTCTATGTAATTGATGACATATGTTCTAGATACAGCAAAACAATTTCTTTAAGCCCCTAAATCCCACAGAAGTTATCTGTTGAATAAGAACATAGGTCTAAAAAGCAAATGTATCCTATTAAAAACTTTTCCCTCATTAGCACTCAGTACTGATTATATTAATTTGCTTCAGATGATAGTATGCTATATAAAAATATAAAGTTAATGTGAAGTGTCTTTTGGTCTTGTATGTAGAATATAAGGTCACTGATTTCAGACCTGTCACCTGATTTTTATACAAAAGAGACTCACTGAATATTGTATGCTGATAACCAATTTGAATATGGCTATGTTGTATACTGATAACCAAATTATTGTATACATGTAACTATATGATATATGAAAAAATACACATTTATTCATAAATATTTATAAAATATACACATATATGTATATATGCATATTTATATATATCCATATATATGATGTGTCATGGTAAATGATTATTAAATGTGCATAAATAGAAATAAAATATTCTGTTTACAAAGGCTATGTCATTTAACATCTATGAAATTAGAATGTGCCATTGTCAGAATATGTCCAATATTTTGGAAGTATTTTGACTGTTATGAAACTTTTGGTAGAAGGCATTCTTTATATGGAGTTTTCTAAAGTTCTGTAACATTACTGATAATTCTCCTAACGACATCATTATTAATGTCACTTAGTAAGAACAATTCTCTCATATTCTATAAATATTTACATTGTCCTATGCTTTTTCATTGTTTGTAGCTACCATTCATAGAGCATTATGGCAGTTGTCTTCAGCTCAGTTTTGTAAAGTAATTGAAATGGTTTTTAATCATAATATTCATCTTTGAATATTTACTTCCGTAAAGAAATTCTGGGTCAATTTTTTGCTGGCTTCATTTGTAGTGTTCTTATCAACTCACTTAGTTGATATGTTATTATTTTATTATTTCTACTACTTACATATCCAGTCTTTAGTGACTTGCAACTTGGTTTATTAGATATTGTAGTGAGAATAATTAATACCACAGAGAGCCTAAGAGAACCTAGGATCCAAGAGATTAAAAGAGCTAAGGTGTAGGGAAAGGATAGGGTGTAAGAAAATATTAGCATTTAATACTAGAAGTTCATTTGAAAAAGATGATGTGAGCAAAGTAATGGAAAGGATAAGTCAAGAATGGAATTCAAGTTTCAGTGATAAGATAAATATAAATCAATGTTTGCATCTGTTCCTGTTCTGGGATGAAATATACTTGGTCTAAGGGGCCTAAAATTTCTCCTATTCATGGGAAATTGAAAGAGTCAGAGGAGTAAATTCAAGTTTATTCATTCAGAAATGCCATGCTGCAAAGCCAGAAGTGCAGATAAATATCCAGAGTTTATGCTGCAAGATTAAATTTACAACACCAAAAGTCAGGAGCCATAAGGACGGAATCTGATAACAACAACAAAAAAAAA